ATGAGAACTAAATGGCTGGCGAAGCCCCAAACCATCCGCCGTAATAAAAGAAAAGAGTGTCCCGCAAGAAGAGTGACGCGAACTTCCTCCCAGATTTCCAGGGCCCAACACAGAACGCCTTCCAGATTGGCCAGACTCCTCCACCCTTCCAAATCAGATAAGGCACCCATTTCAGCCCAACAGAAATTCCATTTTCAAAGTTCTCTGCTTTGCGGGTGATCTGGGGCTGTCCTCGCTGATGACGCATCACACTGTGCAGGACCCGCGTGCGGAGCGGGACTCTGACTCACAGTCTACCCAGTGACCACAGGACACGGGGCTTCTTTCCCACGCTGCTGGCAAGCAGCGAGGCATCAGCAGGGTAGAGTACACGGAGGAGACACCCACACAGTTCTTGTTAGGGGACAGAAATGCCATGATTCTGTTTCATGAAGACCCTGCTTCAGACCGTGGTGGGGAAAGCCCCTTGCCAGAGTCACCCGATTAGGAACCATCAGGCCTTTTCAACAATACGTTTATCAACTGGCCACAAGAGGCATTTTCTCAGATGAGTGTGGGTAAGCTCTGTGTGTGTCCTTATGCCTGTGAGTGACCCTGCTCCCTAGGCAAGCATGTCAAGTCCATGAGTTGGACACAGAATATGTCTGCACCGCACTTCACCGGGAAGCGGTCCCTTTTTTCGCAGCCCCGGGCCACCTCTGGGCCGCAGGGCCGCTCCTTCCTGAGAACCGGGGCACCTGTTTTCTCTGCGCCCCCTGCGATTCGGCTGCTCGCTCCCCACTCGGCTATCCGCCTCGTCTGCACACGTCTCACCCCTGGTTTGGTGGGGAGCTCCCTGTCTTGAACGCTGCGGGGTCACGGAAGAGAATGCGTGTTTTACATCAACAGGGGCGCCCGGGGCCAAAACATCTGAAAGGCTTCTTCTGTAAGCTCTACGTTGGCAAAACACAAACGGCCAGTTCCCAAGCAGACGGCAGTAACTCTTCGGAATGTGCTGCCTTTCCTAATATCTCACGGAGTTGCGAAAAGCAGGTTCTCAAGCAAAAGAAGAGCTCAACTTTTGTCTGTTTCTGAGTAGGCAAGCATTCAAAACGCTAATCAGGTTAAGCAGCCACCGTTCCCACAGGGCTGAGGCCCCCGGAGGAACACCAAGCCACCGGTACAAACCCGAAGTAATCACCTAAGAGAAAGCACCTGAAGATACGCGTGCCAGCCAGGGGAGTGGGGAGACAAACATCTCCGAGGGCCCCTGACGTCCTGCGAAAGCCTCGTGAACGCAGAGCAAGACGCCCAGGGTTAGCCTGATGACTGAGATTAGAACATGCCCAAAGACCCCCTACGTTGACACTCACTTATGGCAACTGGAGAACAGAAGACATTCTGCCCAGGAATGACATCTCCCTCGAACACGGGACTTAGCCAGAAAAGGTTTGGCAACTGAGACCGGAGACATTCCAGGGCCCGCCGGTGGATTCTAAGTAGTCAGCATGTGAAAGTTTTCCTCGAGGAGACGTGGAAAAGACATGTGTCAGAAACAACGATTTCCACATTTCCAAGGCGGCTGACACTCTGTCCCACTTAGGTAACTTGAACTGTCTCAGAGTTATGTGGCTCCTACTATCCTATTTTTAAAAAACAGGTCAAAATTCATCTGACTTGCAGGCATTTGAGAATAGCAAAATAACTCAGAGGAGAAGCAAAGCCATCCGGCAGGAGCTCCAAAGCAGGCCGGTGATCCGAACTGCTAGATCTAGGGGCTGTGATTCGACACCCTCGGCTCATTTTGCATTTAAACCCCGTTAGCATGCCCAGGCCTCACTCTGAGAATGGGCGGGGGGCGATGACGGTGGAGAAGGGCCAATTCCTGTCACTGATGTGCCAGCTGAGAATAAAATCCTCTGTTGTCTGACCTCGGGATGGGAGGGGGAGGGCGGGGAGGGGGAGGGCATGACAGGGGAACCACGTCTGAAATCCCGGCTCAACCACACTTCAGGTGTTCCAGGTCATTAACACTGACCGACATCAGTTTCAAGACAATGAGTGGAGGTTAAAATGTCCTCTTTCCGTGGGGGGCAGGGGGGAAGGACCTCTTCCTTGGTCATGTGATGTGAAACGTGGGGCCTGAAATACTTGTGCTCAAGACACATCTTCAATTTTTGTTGAAAAGACATAATACTAAACCATTTAGCTAGATTTCAAGGGGCCTTCTGAATCCATGGGAAAATTACAGTCTTCTAAAAGATTAATTCAGAATGGTTTAACCTACAGCTTACAAGTATTTCATTTTAAATAGTCTTGTTTTAGGAATAAGATAAAAAATCCCAAGTGGGCAGAGACAGGGTGCTGAGGGGGCAGGGCCGGCCAGGAAAGGTCACAGAGGCCCTGGATCCCAGATGTCTGGTCCACTGGCTGGGAATCTTCTTGATGGTCAGCAAGGGGGGAGAGCAGAATTCTACTCTTCCCACCCCCAAGGGGGCGCTCTGCGGTTTTCTGATTTCAAGGCTCAGGGTGGTCTCAGTGGGAGGCTCGCCTGAGACCACATCACAAGAAAGGGGCACAATCTAATGGCACATCTTCGCCCTCGATGCCTCCTCCCTTTGACCGTCCAGTGCCCAAGTGGGAAGCAGGCGTGTTTCCTTGTGGAGATAAACACAGACCTGGCCTCACCTGAGTGTACCCAGCCACCTCAAGGGTTCCCTCAATGCTCAAGGGTTTCCTCGATGCTCACTTTTGAAAAGAAATGTCTAAAGACCCTTTCCTTGCGGGGCTGGGTGCTAGACGCTGGCCGTGACTCAGAGGTGACCCCTGCCTTCTCTAAAGATATTTAACCAAATCCGAACTAAAGTGAACCAAGTCCCTGAGTAGCTGTTCTCAAGTCACAGAAAACTCAGCCAAAAATACCTAGAGAGCTATATCTAGATTATTCTGCCTGGTTACATGTTATTAATGGGTGGATTTGGGGTAAAAATGAAAATGAGTCAGGCTGGAAAGCATATGCATGGAATAGGAAGTCTGAAAAAGCAGAGCCTTGCGGGGGGGGGGGGG